ATGGGATGTGGGGCACTAGGTAAAACTTTACCATTCATTCGACAATATGTATTGAGAGCCTCATGCCTATGAGGACCAGGGCTGGGAGCACAGCTGTGAAGTGGACCGGCGTGGCTCCAGCCTTCGAGGAGCTGCCAGGATATGGACAAAGAGGCACAGACAGAGAAACTTTACAGTCGGGTACGATTCATGTTAAGACTGAGTTAAAATACAAGGCGCCCTGGTGCTTATTGCCTTTAAAGGGAGTCTTTACAATTAGCCCCCCTGGCATCAGCATCCCCTTACTTTGATAAAAGGTTTGTATCCAACACAATTATAGAACAGATGTTGAAGATAATCTGTTCTGGAACCTGAAGTCAAGGCTGGATGTGGGGTACGGTTCTGGGAAAAATAAAGAAAGGGGGGAAATCACAAGTTAAGCAAGTTGGGCGAAGACCGAGGGCACTCAAAATAGGATGAGTATGAAATAGTTTGGGGAAAAGTCGTAACCGATGAGAGGAGAGGGGTCCATGAAGATTCGAGGGCCATTGCTGGTTCTCTTGGGGATAGGGATCAGCCTCCAGCAATAATCTGCCTAGCACTCAGGTTGCTGGGAAGCACTTTCAAATCTCTCCAGCCTGAGGAGTGTGGCCTCTGGAAAACAGACACGAGGACTGTGGGATTGGGAGGGATCCCAGAGAGCCGCTGCCTCCAACCAGTCATTTTTATAGATGAGGAAAGATATGCCCAGGTACATGAAGTGGCTACAAAAGTTAGCAGTGTCCAGGCCAGAGCTCAGGTCAAAGGTCGCCATGACCCCCCCCTTCAGGCCTGGCCTTGAGTGAATCAGTGGGGCAGACTGGCCCTGTCTTTAGGGGCTGCTTGTGAAAGCTGAATACCTGATTCTTCGGGACCTTCCACACTACTATGGAGAGACTGACCACAGCGAGCAGGGGTTAAAGTCTTATAATCCACCTACACAGATGTGAGCAAGAAATTTGGTTCAGATAAATGAAAAAGAAATAAGCTAGAAGATTGTGAGTGCCCAGGTCAGCCAGGCTGCCACCCAGGGGGGACCTCTGAAGAACATTTGGTCTCGGGATGCAGATGCACTTTGGAGCAAGAGTCAGGTTTCCCTGAACTCCCGGGAGGGGCTGTTCAAAATGTATTTAAACCCCTGGACAAGGAGGTTTTAACCAGCAATGGCAGGATATACGAAAAATGAAAGGAAATGTGGTTTATAATGTATCTGTGCAACAAATATTGTGAGGAGGCATTAAACAGGAAATTCTCCACTTATGATGACCGCCATCTCATAAAATAGCCTCTCTCCCTTCTTCCTCGTGGTAATGGTACCTCGTGAACACAGGAAGACAGTGAGAGGGCGCCAGGCCATCATGAGCACTGTGAGACCACGAGGAGGGTAGGACAGCAGAAAGCCTGGATTGAAGGCTGGGCCCTGGGCTGCACCTCAGCCCCGCAGCTTCCTGTAGTGCTTCAGGCAGGTGGGCCTAGAAGGACCCATCTAGAAAGGATTCGCCCAGACAGATGACCTCCAGAGCAATTTCTGTCTTATTAAAAAGCGAATGAGATGCTTCATCAATCTTTTTCCTTGTGTACACCTGTGTATACTTCTCCACAACTAGAGGACAAACTTTCTAAGAACAAGAATTGATGTATTCATTCCACACATTTTTATTAAAGTACCCAAAACAGACCTTTGCACAGATCAAAGAAGTAATAAATATCACAGACATTGGACTAACAGCCAAGAGGAAGGTCACTGGAAAGTAGCAATGAGCAGAGGTGGCTCCAGGCACTGAACAGCAGTACCCCCACACTCCTGTATCTGGACCCAGAAACTCCTGTCTCTCTCTCTTGTCCCAGAGCTCAGAAAACTCCAGGGAAATGCTTGCTGCCAGGAGAGCAGGACTTGGAAACTCTCAGGTGGAGACCTGCCCTTCTGAAACTTTTTGGCCGGCAAGCCGCAGAATCTGGAGCCAGCCCTCACTCTCTGTGGCCTCCCGCCTCCGTAAAGCTCTTGGCGATCCTCTCCCGCCGGCCCGCCGGGGTGAGGTGGTTCAAAGCACACAGCACTTGGCACTGAAGGCCTGGATTAAGGGGGCTGGGGACTGATGAACTTGGCCTCCTGGGCTACCAGCCAGAAAAAACGCTGGAGAGGATGCCACCTGCTGGTGAGGGACCCTGGCTTGCACGGTGGGCGCAACAGACCTGGAGCCTGGATGTGCAGGGAACAAGAATTTGGGCCGTTTTCCAAGTGGCTGGTCTTCTGCTGTCTCTTTAGGGCTGCCGCCTCCACGGCCCGTGCCCAGAGACCCAGTCGCCCGCGCGCCGTGCTCCGGACGCAGAGGTTCCCACCAGGGGCGGCGGTCTTCCTCTCCCCGACCCCTCCCCTCGCCGCGCTCCGAGGTCTAAGACTCTCCGCTCTTCTCCATCAGGTGGAGCCGTACGCTCCTCGCCGCCTCCCACCTCCCTCCTCGCCAGCGAACTGCGCGCAGGCACCTCGCAGCGCCTGGAGGTTAACCGAGGCCCCGGAGGAGGTGAGGCCAAGGACCAGCCCGAGCGGAGATGGCGAGGCCGCCGTCGGGGCTGGCGCCAGAGCGCAGCTGGCTGTGGGTCCTGCAGGTACCGCTGTCGTTCTCGCTGCCCCACGTGGTGGCTGCCGAAGATTGCCGTGGTTTTTCCGGCACTCAGGGTTGAAACGCCTCCTGGTCCTTTTAGAGGCAGGCAGCTCATCACTTAATCCAAGCTTTTTTCCTTTCTGCTGGAGACAGGAGGCTGGGGTGAATGGAGGGCCTGGGCGGGGGGAGGAGGGGGCGGCGGGGGTGGAGAAGGGAACAGGCCCAGCTGACTAGGGGGATCGGAGCCAGTTTGGGGATCATCAAGCCAGTCACAGGGACCAGTGGGAGAGCAAAGCAAGGTCCTTCCAACCTCGGATTCCCACCACCCCTCTTCTTTACAAGAGTGAGTGTGTGTGGTGTGCACGTGCCTGTACATGGGCCTGATTCTGGTGTATTGCACAGTTCACTAGCCTCCTGACCCTGGTTTTGTAATATTTCCCCCCTGGACAGAATTAAGCAGATCTGGGCCCCAGGCCACTCAGGAATTAGCAATCAAAATTAAACAGCGTAAAAGATAAATGTTTTGTTAAAACCTCAGATGTCTCTTTGTGTGATACATTGTACATTCTGAGATTATTAGTTTTATTCACCGAGAGGTTGGCCTTAGGAATGTACCTAAGCCTTAAATTTCTGCCTGCCCCCATGGATTTAACAAAAAGCCACCAGTGAAGTTACAGCACTCTACATGCCATATTTTCACTGCTGATATGGTATTTGGCATATGTTGTTTAGAATTATTATTCACCTTTGCATGTGTTCTGATTTGCCTCTTTTGTTTCATTGCATTGACTGTGGCAGCAAGTCAGTGGACGAAGGGTGTGCTGGCACTTTGCTCCGTCCCTTGTTTGCTAGTTTAGCTGATGGGGTGCCTCTTGTGGGTCCTCCTAGTTTCTGTTGCTCAGCGTTTCTTTTTATCCCTAAAGCTTGCTTACAAATTTCCCTTTGATATGTTTAACAGCCTCTAAGGGATGCGGTTAAATAAACTATTAAGTTAAGAATAGAAAAGTCAACAAAGCAGACACCTACTAATTTGTAGATCTTGTCAGCAACCAGATGTCACCTCCTACCAGCACACCCTTGCACGTGTGCCTCGACTGCTCTCTTCCTTGTTCGTAAATACCAAGGGAGGCGTTTTTAAAGTTAACATCCACATGGAAACTTGGAAGGTGCCTTACAGTCAGCAAAGTCTCCAAAATATGTAACACTGATGGAAGAAAGGCCAAGAGTTTCCCAAAAGACCTCCCCAAGGTCCGGTGAGGGAAGAAAGTAATGGCTGATTTTATAATTGGATGGCACAAATGGAGAGTAGCTTTCATTTTCCTCTCTTTACTCTTTACCTCCCAGTCTTCTGCATGTAAGGTTGCATATCTTATACTTGTAACTATCCTTATAGTTTGTATCTTCTGTGTATACTCTGCCTCCACACTAAATTATGAGCTCCTCAAGGCATGGGGTGTGCCTACGATTTTATTTCCCCCATGGCCCTGCTTATATCAAGCACATCTAAATGTCTATCAAGTGTATAGACCTAGATAAATTCACGTTGATATCTTGGAGGAAATAGAGTTTGATTTGAGTGTGGGTTTCACTACAGGTAAAAGACCTGAAGGTTCTTGGAAGGCAGTTGCCTATGACCTTGGCCTCTCCTTCGCAATTGGACTCACAGCACCTCCTGGAGAAAGACACGCTCCGAGGGATGGAGCGTGCATTAGAGGGAGGCTCCACATGCAAAGACAGGCTACTCTCCTTCCTTGTTAGGAAATGCACAAACCAGGATAATAATAATAAATGGGCATGTGTCACAGCTCCACTCGGTTTCCCTTTGGTTCCTTCATTTTGTTTTCTAAGCAAACTGAGGTCTAAACATTCACGTTTTATTACCTTCCTACCCCTCCCCGGGAAGTCTCAAAAATGCAGAGCATGCTTCTCTCTTCCCCAACTCGGAGACTCCTGCTGCACACATTGGCCAAGTCCTTCCTGGAGAAAGATGCATGCCCCCCTCCCCCCCACCTCTTCCTTTTTCCCTTTTCAGCCCAATTTCCAGTCCCTTGTGCAAAGGCGAGGCATGCATATTTAATGCATGCATATTTAATACATGCATATGCATACAGTCATCCTTAACTTCACTCCCGTTAAACAACATTATGTCGTGTGCACAAAAAGTCACAGCTCTGGTCCCTGTTCAAGATGCCTTTTGGTCAATAATGGTGACAAAAGCTGAATTTTCCCCTGTTTAGGGGGTAAAAGAAGAAGGAAAGAAAGAACAGAGCCTTTCCCCCCACCCTCCGTTTTGCAGATCGCCTTTTTCCAAGTGTTTCCTCTTTAATTATGACCTGCTTCCCCTCCCTGCCCCCCGCCCCCCGCCCCAGCTTCAGTGAAAGGAGCCCTTCTGTCGCTCGTCACTCGCCCGCTCGCTCGCTGTGGGAGGAGCCCGCCGGAGGAAGCTGTGTGCCTGGGCTGCCGAGAACCGGAGAACGGATCTGCTCCGAGAGGGCACGCTGCTGACGATCCCGGCTTCCTGAGGCGGCTACAAACAGGCAACTTGTCTTGGCTGGCTGCTGATACCGGGAGGCACGGAGAGACCGAGGCCACCCGGAGGGACCGGCGGACAGACAGATGGTCGGCGCGAGCCGGAGAGGACCGCGGCGGAGGCTGAGCACCGCGAGCCGCCGAGGAGGAGAAAGTAACTGCCACCCCAAGTTGCCCTGCCGGCTTTGCTTCGCGGCGCTGAGGAATGAGACCCTTCCAGCTCGATCTGCTCTTCGTCTGCTTCTTCCTCTTCAGTCAAGGTAGGACCCCTGCGCGGCCGGAGTTGCGAAGAAAGTCGGCTGGGTTGTCAGGGCGCGGGAGGCTGAGGGCAGGAATGTGGCAGGCTTCGGAAACTCGTCCTGATTGATGCCTCTCTCGGTGCCCGGCCGAGATGCACTGGCATTGCTTCTTTGCCTTTGAAAATGCAACAAAATGGTACTGTTTATGTCCTTTGGAAGGAAGGGTATGGGGGCTGGGGGGAATACTTTCTCCTCTCACTTGTCAACATCCAGCTCAAACTCTCTAATGCAAATGCGTTCTTTATGCTCCCGGGATTTTAATTGGGCAGGATCTGTGTGGATATACCGCTCTCAACTTCTGGGCGCTTCCTCTCCCTCTGACCCAGGTTGGAGAAGGAGAGGGTAGGGAAGGAGAGGTGTGTTTAGGTGGATGTTTCAGCTCGAATGAGGTCTGCCTTGCCTGAGTGTATGGAAAGCTAATGTGTGTGCCTTCACACAGTTGCAGAAGGGGCTGCAATTACCGAATGTACCGTGGGGGTAATTTGCAGTGCTTGGGAAAAGCTTGTAAGGAGTTCTATTGAATTTAATCGAGTTCTCTGAATAAGGCTGAGTTCTGAGTCCTACACAGCACTGGATTCAGGATATAAAATGAAATTTCGCCCCTGGTGCTGACTGTTTCTTTCTGCAGCCTAGCAGGGGCAGAGAAGCTAGTGGACATTCCAAAAAGAACTTTGCCACCTCTGGGCTCCTGGCGTGGTGGAGGGAGGGAAGGGGAAACTCAGGAGAGGGATTCTGAATGCCTACTTAGCCAGAGGTATCCAGCGTCACCTGTGGAATTGAGTTTGAAGGGGAGAAGTGAGTCGGTTCCTTCCCACTCTTTTGGAATGCCAGTGCTGCCTGTGCCATCTGAGGCAGCGTGGTGCCAGCCAGCACAGCTCTGAGAGGGACAGGATTCTCTCAGAAAAAATCCACAGCAGAGCACGTCCATCTGTTGATTAAATGAAGGGTAAAAGTTTTCGAGAAAGCAGAGCACCGCCATGAGTGGCTGGCTTTGCAAGCAAACAGTGTGCCTGCCATTCCCTCCTTGCCAGGGAGAAGCCAAATGTAAGCAAACCCCACGCCTCCTTCCTCAGCTTTTCCACCGGTGCTGTGGTCAAGGCAGATCTTTCCCCGTGTCAAACTTTGCTGATGACTATGCTGATTAGACCAGGGGCCCTTCCCCCCTGTGAGTGTTTATCTCCCTATGCCTGTGTATAATTATGCTGTACACACACACACACACAACCCCCATGTATTCGTGTGGTTGTGCGCGTCTCACTAGGGCTCCGTATAGCAGCAGGAAGATAAATTGTCTTCCCCAGAGTTCTCAGGCTGAATGAATAAGAACTCTCCCAGAACACTGCTATAGAAACAGTTTGGGTGATGTTACTATTTGGTGAGGTTACCCTCTGTCTTGCATGTGTGTGTGCTTGCCTATGGACACACACATACACATACACAGCACACACACTCACTCCCATTCTCCTTTGCCTCTTACCAATTCACTCAAGAAGTCACATGCCTAATCGCCGAAAGGAGGATCCAGCCATCCCCCCAACACACGTATTCCTAGGACCAGTGCACGTTTTCATCAGTCTTTTGTGCTCTTAGAAGCTTGAGCCGCGATTGCTCTCTGGATTGGCATAAGGAGCCGATAGGTGTCTAAGTGCCTCTCTGGCTGTCTGAATCATCACAGTGTGCTTCTTCCACTGTGCTCAATCTTGTCTCAGTACAGAGCTATTTCTTGACTGCCTCATATGAATCTTTAAATATTTACCTATGGAGGCTAAATGCTCTGTTTCATCTACCCTTAGCCCTGGGGGCACTAGGAAGAAACCACAGCATCATGCAGTTCATGGTTCCTTGTTATTCCTGAGTGTTCTGAGCTTGGTCACCACTGCCCACCTTACCAGATGGAGAGGTATGGTACACGGGACTCCAAAACAGGTCTAAAGAAAGACGATGAGACCCAAGTGGACATAGCCAGTCAGAATACCCCGTCACTCGACATTGAAGGGGCCTTGAATAGACAGCATCTGACCATAGGGATTAAGGGTCAAGTGGAGTGATGTTTTATCAACTTCTTTGTGATAGAATATCTTTTAACTCGATCCATGGACATTTATTTCAATGTGGATGTTGTTTTGAGTATTGTGAATTCCCCAGAGTATTCTGCTTGACCCTTTGCACACGTGTGCTTAGTTCATATATTTTGTCCAACCTCTACCTGGTGCCATGTATTTATAAGGTTATTGGATAGGGCATATCCACTTCCAACAGGTCGTGAGAGGACTAGCCCCCAGGCTCTAGATGGCTCCCGCTGTCGTCCTCCTGAGTGAGGTTCACCCAAGCTGACATGCCCCACGGAGCAGCCCGTCTGACCCTGGCCGTCCGCATGCTCTTCCTCCTGGGATGCTTTCCAAGGAAATGTGCAGAGACTCGGGGATGGCCCTCCGCTCAGAGAAAACAAATGTCCAGGGTTCTTTTTAGGGCCTTATCTGGCACTCTGGTGACATGTCCATCTGCTGCCCAAAACCTCTTGCAGTGGGAAGCTGCATGTCATTTTAGAGTTTCTGGAAATACAATTCTCACACTTCCTGCTCCTGGCTGTGTTCCTTCCTATACAGAGGGAGTGCTCCACCAGCGCTCTGAAGACTTGAAGAGCAAAACGTTTAGGTAAACTGTTAACGTCCATTTCAATCATCTCTTCTCTCCTAATTTGTCAAACATTTATTCACCTTTACTTTTTTCCATAACCTGTTAGAGAGTAAAATTAAAGTATAATTAATGTCAGTGATATGCTGTACCCCTATTCTTTTAAAGTTTGGGCTTTTCAAATAGATTGAGATTAAATATTTATTTATCTTTCTTAAGGTGACAGTAAAAAGGCCGAATGACAGTCCTCTGCTGCTTCCCCTCCCTCCCTCCCTGGGCCTGGCTCCCACAAGGAGATGGAGAGCTGCCAGTGTGGGCTGCTCATGGGTTTCTCTCTTGCTGGGGATGCCTCTTCCTTCAGCTGTCAGGACCGCGTGCTTTATACAGAGAGGGATAATGTCACAGCACAATTTACCTCCTGCAGAGAAGAGGCATGTTCTGCCCCTAGGTAAAAAGGAATAGATTCTCTTGTCATCCATAAACTTAGAACTTGCTGTATTTTTTCCCTTTATCATTCCAGTTTGCCCACAACTATTTCCTTCTGTGCCCTCCTTCATCTTTGAGACCCATCCCATCCAAGCCTGCAGATGCACATCTTGAGTAGCTTTGGAGGGATGATGTTCTAGCAGGACTGAAGACTCCCTGCTCCCATCAGACCTCGAGTTTGGCGAGTTCGGGAAAGGTGTAGTGATACAAACTTGGTGTCTTCTACTCAGATGCTCTTAGGAAAGTGTCCTCTCCCCCATTCTCTGAGGTTTTGCTTTCCCAGTGTCCTGTCCTGCCTGGTAACTTCGTGGTCTGAAAGTTCTAATTCTGGTGAACTCAGATCTCTTGTTGGGTTTGCATGTGTGCCACACTGCTCTGAATGTGTTGGGGTGAAAGTGAAAACTTGCATTTACTTGTCAACGACATCCCTGAGTTGAGGATTGATCTGGGGCATCATCTCCCTATTGGGAAGAAACTAAGCAACTTGCTCTCTTGACTTGCTGGCAGGAATCACCAAAAGGGGCTGTTGGATGGCCATCAGAGGGGCAGAGGTTCATGGTGGCATGAATCCCCCAGGGAGTAGAAGAGCATCTACTCCAAGGGAATACAAGAGCAGACAGAAGGGTAAAGCAGAGTGTGAGTGGAGAGAGTGGCCAGGGCGAGGGGAGCCATGGGGATGATGGGAAGCACGGAAAGGGAAGAGCAACTACAAGAGGCTTTCACTCGCAAGAAGCTCCCTTGGGAAGGGAGAAGGGGCATCAAAAGATAGTATAAGCATGTCAGGGGCTGCCTAAGGATGGAGGGGATCATAGTGGGTACAGGCTGAGAAGGCATTAGGAAAGGAAATTGAGAGTGAACAGTAATTTTGGGAACATTTGTCCTTACCCAGAAATGTCATATAACAAAAGAGGAGGCAAGTAATAAGTGTGATGCTCCCCCCACCAGCACCCCGAGTGGTATGACGTCTTGTCTAGAGGAGGAAGAATCACTTCTTTTGTCCTGGAAGGTCAATGCATAGCTGCCAAGGGTGTGGGACGACTTCTTTCACACATCTTCTGGGTGAGGGGAACTGGGACATGGCTGTTGGGCATGGGGGTTGTCACAGTATCTGCTGCCCAGCAGGGAGTTCTCAGTTGCCAGCCAGACCTATTGAGGAGGGAAGAGAAACTCTCCAGGGGGAGAGGGGTGTGGGCTAGGGTCAACGCCTTCACATTGCACTTGGAGGATACCACAGGGCCTCCCTCTTGGGTTACAAAGGAGGCTCTTGCTTGGAACATGGCAGCAGTGAGCTAGGCATGGTACCAAGGAGCAGCTCTGCCTGGCGTGCCTGTGCTGGTAGGAGCCAGGGCCAGCAGGAGACGGGGTGGAGCAGGGGATTAGGCCTGAAGATGCAATTTTTCTTTTTTGTTCAGCCCAGTGGGGGGGACTTAGGCAGCATTATATTGCAGACCCAAAAAAGCACATGAATAATCCAGAGTGAATTCAAGAGATTTCAATAGCAAAATAATAACAATACTAATGATACCTTTGATTTGCAGAGTACTTTTCTTCTAAGGAGATAAAAAGATAAACTGTTTTGGAAACATGAACGCAGAAAAGAAAATTGCCTGTGATGGAGGAGTGGGGAGGAGGGCCAAGAGCATTCATTTTAGGATCTTGATGTAAATCGGGGGTGGGGAGGGAGTTCCACGGGCATAGGCATCATTTTTCAGCTACAGTCCTTATCCTTCTAAAATGTCAAAATGACTTTTAGGCAAAAAAAATAGTGCAGGCATTTTTAATAGGGGTCAACCTAGAAACAGTGAGGTGCTAAATTCCTCCTGGGCCTGGGAACAGGGACG